ACTCTGCCCTAAAATTTTTCTCCCTGAGGATGAGAATGAGGAACACACTCACATGCATCTGAATTCCTGTAGCCTTGAGATTAGAAGACTGGATATCTCAGGTCTGCTTGCCTCTGGAGCATTTTCCAGACCGTTCTGCACTCAGTGTTGTTTTATTTGCAGTAACATAATTATTTTCAGGAAAGCAGCAAATTATAAAGAATTATCCTTCATTTTGAACTCAGGAAACATTCTCATATGATAGCAAATCATTCGATAACAAACAGAATAATAACTCAAAACAAGCTTTGATGACCCCAGGCTGGAGCTACCTTCTACCCTACACCACCTCTACAGAGCAACAGTAACTGCTCTGTGAAGTCAGAAATGTGTTTGACCCTGAGGAGTGAGGACAGTCTGGGAGTCTGGCAGGAGAGAGGGTTGCATTGCCAAGGTCTTGGAGAGCAGCGCTGGCTATGCTTCCCTTGGATGGATTGTAAGTAAGTTCACAGAAGAGTGTAGCAGATACGTGAGACTCAGCACTCTTTGCCCTCACACACCAGAGAGAAGGGAGCAGCTGAGTTAAGAAACAACATCTAAGCAAGCTCCTAGAGCTGGATAATTCTTACTCTTACCTGCAGCTGTGGCTAGATGCCAAATTGGTTTGAGGCAACAATAGACATAGGATAGAGGAAGGGAAGTGTCTAGATTCCCCGAGGAGAGGATTCAAGATGAATATGAAAATTTCTGTTTCAGCAGGAGGACAAGACAAAGAATAGGTTAATTCAAAGTACTCATGCGTTAGTGAAAGCATCAATCTAAAAATAGTTTGATCTGTGTGCTAATACCTAAAATTATTGTATTCTTTGATGGCAAAGTAATAATTCTGAACAAAGTGAAAATTTCTTAATTTGAAAAAGCCTACAAGTTTAACATACGTAGCCTTCCTTGCAATTACATTTCATGTCATAGCCTTGTTTACACAAGGAATTCATAAATGGAAACGCCACAGAGGTCAGGTAGGTAAACTGCAGGAGGCAGGGCAGAAAGATATGAGCATATATTACACAAAGGATGGGGTGCCTAGGAGTTCCTGGCTAGTTAAATGAGGCTGAGAATGGGCTTGAATACACACACAAACCAGTTCCTATCATAAAGAAATGCAGAGCCAGTAATTGATGGATCTTCTGATGTTTCAAGTTAGTTCAAATGTAAAACCAACCAGCTACCTTTGATCCCAGCCAGCACTCAGGATGCAAAGGCAAGTGAATTTCCATGATTTCAAGACAAGCTTCGTCTATATTTAGAGTTTCAGGACAACCTGGGTTATGTAGAGAGACCCTGTCTCAAAAAAGAAAAAAAATCAACAAGTTGAAAATTTATAATCAAAACATGGCTGTTTGCTATCAATTTATTACTTTTTCTGATCATGTGATACATTGCCCCCTGGTGGAGAGTCCCTCCATTCTGGCTTTCGTTTTAAGGGATGAGGTGACAGCAAATTTCTCTGTGGTGACTTTGTGTCAGGAAGACTGTCCTGCTGGGTGGGAGAACTGCCCACTTCCAATATCCGTGCCAATGCTTTCTCGGTTTGGCAGCAAAGACCAAAGTGAAATTCAACACTGACATGAAAAGGGATTATTCAAACACAGAAAAGAAATATTTAATACACACATATTTTCATGCTAATTGGTACAATGCAGAATTATTGTAATGTATACATTATCAAATAATCAGGATGTAAGTTGGGCACAGTTAAAGCAAAGAGTTCCAAAAACCCTGAATAATAGTCTTGGACCATTGTAGCTACAGGGTTGAGCAGCTGGACCATGACTCACTCAGGCAGCTAGCCGTCCAATTTCCTAACTGGTACTAAAAAAGACCTCAAATTCCAGTTTCTGTATAATATGGAGATAATAATACTACCTGCCTTTCAGGGCTAGAAGGGTACATTATCTTCCATATCTCTCAGGGGTGGTGGTTTCTTGTTTTGGGCTTTTTTTGAGACAGGGCTTCTCTGTGTAGCACTCACTGGCCTTCCTGGAACTCATTTTGTAGACCAGGCTGGCCTTGAACTGAGGAATCTGCCTTCCTTTTCCTCCTGAGTGCTGAGATTAAAAGGGTGTGCCACCACCGCCCAGGTGGGGGTTTCTTACCTATGGATTCAGGTCTGGGTCCTTCAGGACAGGCAGGTAGGACTGGCTTATCTTGAGCGCACACCCTTGGCCCAGACTGGGTGTGTTTACTCCGTGACTTCCTCATTCTATCCTTCAGTGCTGATTTTTTTTTTAACTCGACTTTCCCATGCCTGGAGCCAAACATGTGAGAGTACAAGGCTTTTGCGACTGGTTTACTCACATTTAATGCATATGAACCCTGTGTCTGCTTAAAAGAAGCTTGGGTACCAGCTGTTGGTGGAAAATTACAGGGGACTATCAGATAGAACTGTTGTCAAGGAGAACCTTCGCAGAGGGTGGAGTGTCGTTTTTAAAAATTCTTCTCTCAGATACTACATTTCAGCCACAGTTTCCCCATCTCTTCTCCCCCCCAGTCCCTCCCCTTACACATCCCCTCTAACTCAGATCTGTGCGTCCTGATGGAAAGTGTCTTAATAGGCCCATATTTACTTTTTTTTTTTAATTTGGAAACTGAAGTAGCAGGAAAGTTTCCAGAGTTCCAAACAGAATTTAAACACTGATTAGAAAATTATTGGGCCCATTGGTTTGTGTGTGTGTGTGCATTTTTGAAATGTCATTTAATTAAAGATATCAGGGGCTGGAGAGATGGCTCAGTGGTTAAGAGTATTGGCTGCTCTTCCAGAGGACCCAGGTTCAGTTCCCAGCACCCACATGGCAGCTCATAACAGTCTGTAGCTCCAGTTCCAGGTGATCTGACACCCTCACACATATATGCAGGCAAAACACCAATGCACATAAATAAATAAATAAATTATAAAAAATCACAAAATATCCACTTTTATATCTTCCATGTTTATATATGAGAATATAATGAGGAAATGAGGATTGATAAAGATTAAGACCCATTCATTAAATATTAGAGAGAAGCAACATTTTGTTTCAAAGAGAAGATGCAGTGTTGCATGTTAGTATCAGAAATGAAGATGATAAGAAGTACAAATACTCTGTGAATAAATATAATAGCACTTGTATTTTCTAATTATTCCGTAGAAAAGCCTGTGTAGTTGTTCTAATGCTACTGACAGTGGTCAAAAGCTTAATAGAGTCCTTGTTCCTGAACCATCTTCAAGTCCTACTCACTCTGAAAGCTGCTCACACTGCCTTTTTCGTTTGCTTGTGTTTAGAGTTCAATATATCCCAGACTAGCTTGGAACTGCTCTGTAGCTGAGGATGGCCTTGAACTCCTCATCCTCCTGTCTCCTGCCTCTACCTGGAGTGCTAGGATTAAAGACCCTGTTTATGTGGTGTTAGGGATGTAGTCCAGAGCTTCACACATGCTAGCCAGGCATTGCATTAACTGAGTGGCACCGTCAGCCCTTCACACTAGTTTGTGGGGGATGACTTTGTGGGGGTGGCTAGGCTATACACATTATCTCCAAGGAGCAGCATTAAGTAGATGCAATGCAGGGAGTAAGGAACACTCATTGAGGAGGTAGAGAAGTTAGGTGGAGCCTGACATGCTACCGTATGGTCAATCAATCACGACATTTAAAAGAATATGTAAATATTTATAGCCACAGAGATGTCATAAAATCTTTGCAACAAAGCATTCCCTCCACCCTAAAACAGTATCACGAGCAACACAGTAAGGCACATAGCCATCACATAAATGTGCCATCTTAATAAAATGGGGAAATGAGAAAGATACGTGGTCTTACACAGAAACTCCAAAGCTCTGGCTGATGTGTGTGGTCCAACATAAAAGAAGTTAAACCGTTGTTGAAAATGGAGGGGTTCTTCCTCCTGATTTAGTCACAAGCAGACTTTCTATGTCTTCCTGGAAAAATTTGAAACCATCCATCTTCTCAATGTTTTTTGAAGGGAGAAATGTTTATGAAATGAGTTTGTACAAGGCTGGCTGCTGTTCAGCTCCTGCAGAAGCAGACTGCTTCCCTGACTCGTGTCTGAAGGGCATCTCTGCCTATTAGAAGAATGCATACCCGCCATCCAAACCCACTAGCCTCTCAATGGGAAAGCAACATGCAGAGATCCTCTACTGATGACTTTTAAATATATCTCAAATTATGGCACATTTGCATTGTCAATGTACATGTGCAAGGTAGAGAGAAATACACAGGGAAAGATATGTAACACTTCTGCAGAACAAAAAGAAAATATTAGTACACTCACAAAAATACCTTCTAAGTAGTTCTATGTGGAGAAAAATATGTATAAAACCTTATCCAAATCGCATATATTCACGGAAATATTGACTACATGTGAATTTCTGTAGCACAATGTAATCCTGAAGTTGAGTTTCAGAATTCCTTCACTGACAGGAAGAATAGCTCAATGGAGATACATTACCTTACCTCAAGTGTGCAAAGACTTCCAATCACACAGAACTGTAAAGAGCCTATTTCTTGTGCAAGCATGGACCTTCCAAAGCCCTTTGGAGACCATTTCCTTGACTTAGGATTGTTTGTCCTACAGGCATCTGCTATCTTGTCCTTGAACATTCATCTGCCGCTGCTCTGCCCACTCAGCCAGCTGGTGCAATCTTCCTGAAGTCTATCTTATTGACTTGGCATTTTACTCGTGGAGATGTTTTGTGTTCCCTACTACTTTGGAGAGTTCAGGCATCTGCTCTGAATCATTTACCAAAGCGTTTCATAAGAATGCTTTCAAGCCAACCCTGGGGTACCCTGCTGGGTTAGTCTCTTCATCTACTCACAATGGAATGTTACAGTCAACATTTTGGCCGAAAGCCCAGTATGGAAAGGTTTCAGCTACCTGAAGAGACTGAATTTGTAAGCTTCTGAGTCAATACAACCAAATACTAGAACACTCTTAGTGCCTTTACCAACATCAAGGACACAAAAGAGCAGGTGGACATTTATTATATGATTCAAAAAGCAATAGTCATTAAATATCTCCTCCCCCTTTTAAGTCAAGAGAGACCCTTAAAGTGACTTTTATTATGAGGAGTAAAAAGAAAACTCAGGTTTCCACAGAAAACAAAGGAAGGACCAGATGCATCCAATGCTTTTAAGTTGGTGATGGAAGAGAAAAAGAGGTTGTTTTTCTGATTCCATCCCACATGTTGGTTCTTGTTCATTGCATTAGTAACACACAGGTGCACATTTATATTTGTCTCTGGTGTTTTTCAGCCGTTATTTATCCATTAAATATATTCCACGGTGAGTTTTGCTTGACCCTTTACAAAGTGTTTCCAGTGTGGATGGAGAGATGGTTCAGCAAATAAGAACACTTGCTGCTCTTGCAGAGGACCTGGGTTACATTCACAGCCCCAACATGGTTGCTCACACTCATCTCTAACTCCAGCTCCAGGAGATACTCTCTTCTGGCCTCCCAAGGCCCTGCACACACAGGATGCTCTTACATACATGCAGACAAAATATTCATAAACATAAAATAAATAAACCTTATCCCAAAACAATATGTGTTACAATTTCATTACAATATCTAACCCATTATTTAGATATCATTTTTCCTTAATGAAATAGGATTTCTGCCAATATGCTGGCTATCAATACTCTCTACCAATATGCTGAGCGTGTATATGATTTCAGCAGTGTTATGCTCTATGACAGATCCCACCATTAAAGCTTAGAAAGAAGTGAGTCTGTGCTGCCTACTATTTAAAAAATACAATAATAATAATAATAAAAGTAGGACAATAAGCCAAGAAAGAGAAGCAGGAGAGGCAGACATCTCTGAGACACTCCTGGAGAGGAATGTTCAAAGAAAGATGGTTTAGTCAGAGTTACAACGGCAGCAACAGAAAGTCTACAGTGACTTCGATGAACGTGTTTGAACGGAACAGCTGTGCAGAAGGCCAGGAGCCGAGAAGAGAAGCAGAAACACAGATGCACAACATTTACCCCAGATGTTTGGCTTTAGACTCCAATGTCTAGAGGCTAGCTTGAAATCATTTGTTTTTTTAAGGCAACATGAATCTATCTGGAGGCTAAGGACTAAAGGTGCAGGCAAGCATAAAGGAACCATGAAGAATACGAAGGAGAAGAGGAGGGATCAGGAGAATATGTCTCAGACAGGGACCATGCATGAAGAAGAAAGAGTCACAGCTTTGAGGCGGGGAATGTGGGATCTGGCCTTCAGAGCTCTTGGCCTCCATAGTTGAGCTCACAGGCAAGGTGATCAGCTAAGTGGTTTTTGGGTTGAGTGGTTGTGAAGGGCACCATGGAGACTGGAAGCTTTTCTCAAATTGTTGCAGAGGCACCTAGAGGCTAGTTACAGCCCTTGGTAAGACATTTAATAAGAGTGATAAAATATTGGTGAAATGCTTCTAAGGCCTTATTTTATAAACTGTTGGCTAATTAATTTTAGAAGATCTGAGCATTTGTAACCATTTTAACAATGTTTTTAATGTGCAAGCTGATGATAAACAATACAGTTCAACACAAAGTCAAAAGTTCACCTAAAGAATTAGGAGTTTGTTTTTTTGCAATAGGTTTTATAACTTGATTCATACGATCCTTGAGGGTGAACTTTAGATAGTAGCATCATTTCCCTATGTCAAAAGGTTGGACAAGCCTGAAATCAAGAAGCAATTACAGTTAGGCTTATCATGTTTCAACTGGTTTGCAATATATATTATATTATACATTACATAAATACATAAGAAATATATTTTACATAGGGTCTCATACCAGTCCAGGATGGCCTTACCTGCATCTGCCTGCCCCAGTCTCCCGAGCATTGGCCTTACATATGCATTACCATCCTTGGTTCTGATGATGCTTGAGCATCCTTTTGGAGTTCTTGCTGCTGTGTGAACTTCATCTGGTATGTTTGTCACATGCTCTGTGACATCTGTAAAGGCAAATTTCCACTGACACTTTGAAAGATGCCTCCCCCATCTTATACCATTCTCTTGAATTCCCTGTGGGCCATTCTTCATTTTTGGACTTTCTTTTTCTTGTACTTAGGCTTTTCTTAGTGGCCTACTGTTTTAATTTTTCACCTTTTAATAATACTTATACTTGATGTTATTTATTTTTCTGGAAATGAATAGTCTTCATATGGAAAATTTGTTGATTTTATTGTCCTATTGGAGTGCCCAATTGTTCAGGCTTTGTCTAGTGACAGGAGACAGCTAGAAGAGGAGTCGCATGACTGGAGTCTTTGCTGTGGGGTTCCCTCAGAGCCCCTGCCACCTCTCACAGGTGTGACTGAACCGTCCCAGGAAGGAATGAGAGAACCGACCCCAGATGCTTTATTGGGAACTCAGTCTTTGTCTCTACCACCAAAAGGCTAGGTATTTAGAAGCAACTGTTGTTATTAGCAGTCTCAGCACATGATGGTTCATGTAACTGGGCCTATGTGCAGCCTCTACATCAGCCATCATTGCTCTTCATTAATATAATCCATTGTCCCAGCTCTGAGATGACTAACATCAACTGAGGTGGCTACTGATGATTAATATCAGCTGCCTGAGTCGTTTCGTCTACTTGGCTACTAAGCACTTATTCATGGTAACGCTATTTGCTGGGCATTGAGCTATAAAAGTATTTTCACACTTTGTGCCACTTACTATATACCCACACTTCATATTTTTCTAATCTTTTTTCTTTCCTGAGACCTAGTGAGAGGGCCAGGGTCCTGGCTACTACCTAGGAGTTTGTATAAGTCCTGACCTTGGGTCACTTTTTGTTCCACTTAGTGTAGATGCCAAGTATACTGTTTTGCGCTCTGCCCTGGGTCCACTGTCTTTCAGGACTTCCCCAAAGTGGCTGAGATGAGGTCCGTCTCTTTTCAGCATGATCTGGTGTATTAAGATAAGTCATGCTTAACCAAGCCTGACTATTTCCTTCCTTTCATCAGCTCTTCTTTCAAAATGCCCTGTTCTGGAGAAAGGAGCACACATTGCTACCAAGGTAGGTGTCAGAGGGTGTGGGCTATCTGTATTACAGGTCTCCACATTGTGATTCTCCCACTGGGGCTTGTCGCTGATACCATCTTGTAATTTTTTTCCCACCACTGTCACCTCCAGCATTGCAAGATCAAATGGTGCAAGCCACATGGTTAGGCTTCAATCAGTTTTTTTTTCTGCTCTGAGTCCCCCATTCCCCAGAAGCTGACACCTTTCATGTGACAAAATCAATATTCCTAGGGGTTGAATAAGTAGCCTCCAGGACAAAATGAAGACTATAAGAAGTCTTGCATCTCTCTTTGTAGCATAGCATGCAAGGCTTAGAAACTTGCTTTTTAACTACCCTGATACCTTTGTTAAAACATTCCCAGAAATGAGAGGTCCTGAATCTACCCCAGGAGTGTGGATGTGTGACTTGCCTCCAAGATACTCACCACCTATTCCTGTCTTGTCATCGCGATGTCATTGATATGATGAGCCAGTGTGACTTTCTGAGGGATGTGCAGGTGATTCAGATTCTCTAAGAATATAACAACAGGCTATCAAAGTGATACCTCAGCACTGGCACAGAGCTTAGGCTTATTTTTAACTGTCATAATGTAAATTAACCCATATTTTTATTAATCTACATTCTACCACGTGGCTTTTACCTCTATCCCATTCTGTGTGTCCCACTTGTTCCTTGTCTCTCTCATGCCTAGCTTCATCTCTTACTTCTTCTTTCCCTGCCTGGAAGTCCTGCTTTACCTCTTGCCTTCGACACTTAGCTCTTTATTAAATCAATCTACAGCAATATATCTTCACACAGTGTACAAATATCCCAACACCTCTCAGAGAAGCCAAGCTGCAGAGAAGATTCTGGGACCAGACCAGCTGCCTAGAAGAGGCTTAGAACAGCTAAGTCACTTAGAAAGAACAATGTCCATTCTATTGAGCTGCTGTGCAGTGAGCTCCAGATTTCACAGCTTCTGTGAGATGTCACTCATGCAGGGATGGGCTTTGATGATGCAGCCGTCTTTGAGTCATTTCTGTGGGAACTCATAGGCAAGCCTGCTTATTACCCCACATAGTATGATCTCTACCAGAGAACTCACTTCACACCCGAAGAAGCACAGTAGGAAGTATGGAGGACACAGCTTGCTGTTGGGCAAGCTCATGCTCATCTAGTTTCTTCACATAGTCCAGGATCACCCACATAGGGAATGGTACCACCCACAGTGGGGGGTGAAACCTCTTACATCAATCAAAAATCAAGACACTCTCCCATAGACATCCCTAAAGGTCAGTGAGACATAGGAACTTCCTCAGTTGAGATTTTCTTCCAAAGTAGTTCCAGGTTGTGTCAAGTAAAAGCTAACCTGGACAGCTGCTGAGCAGCTTGGGCTTAGGTTAGTCCTAAGAGAGGTTAGTAAAGTCCCGAAGTCTAAGTTTCCTTTCAGAGGAGTCCCGGGCTTTTCACAGCAGCTGCCTTAATATCCCTGCATTGCTCAACAGATGTCTGGAAGCAGCTCAAAGACGATACGTATTTGGATCAAATGCACTGGTAGACTTCACAGTGGTGCCCAAAGTCGGAGATCTGAGAGGTGCACCACAGAGAATAGGTGGAGATGGTAAGGAAGAATGATAATTTCCTGTGAAGGAAAAAGAAACAGAAAACATAGAAGGAATGACAATGACCTTAGTGAAATGAACTGCACCCTCTTTACCTTTGATTGACCTGGTAGTAATTCACTGACAGGGGTGCTGCTGGCTGACTGAAGGATGGTGAAACAGCATGGGTCTCCCACATGATGCGGACATCCACAAGGATCCATATGCTGCAAAGTCCCCAAGTGACAAGAGGATGAGGACGTCTCTGCTGAGTCAGATCAGAGAGAATTTTCCACACACCAAGGTCTGTCTTCTAGTGTCCCAGAGCCGGGGCTCTACTGGAGTTGGCCACCAAGGCCTTTTGGGATACATTGATGCCTATATGAAGTGAGAAGACTGATTCTGTATTATCCAAGCATGGAGTTTATGATTTTGGAGGAAGTCATATCTAATTTGAGAAATCACCACTGCATTATTATTTTATGGCAAACTAACCGGATCCCAATTTGGAATGATGGTTTTGAGGGGATGAGTTATAAAACAGTGAAAATCTGCTTTAATTGAGGATGCAAATGCATTTCTATAGATTGTATCTTCTGGCAAGATGGCTCTTCTCCAAGCGTGGAGTTAAACTTCAGCGTGTCTGAAATTATTATTACAAGGTGATTTGGTGTTGGGTTATGTGAGCACTCATAAAGGCCAGCTGGGATAGCAGCAACTTTTATAGAAAAGATTTGAAGTGCTCATATAAGCAAACCTCTGTCTCCAAAAATACTTACATCACAATTCATAACAGTAGCAAATTTACAGCTACAAAGTAACAACAAAATAATTTTATGGGGGTCACCACACAAGAGGAACTTTATTAAAGGATTGCAGCATTAGGAAGGGTGAGAACCACAGCATAGTGGAATGGATTTTCTTGGACTAGGTATTTCTGCCATTGTTCTAAAATAAATAATTGAGCTCTGGAAATATAATATTTATCAGGCCTCAGCTGATGTGTATGTCGGTCTGTCTGTCATCTGTCTGTCTGTGTGCTCACCCATGTATGCTTGCATGCAGAGGCCAGAGGTCAAGCTTGGGTGTCTTCCTCCATTTCTCTGCCTTAGTTCTTGAGATGGGTCTCCCAAGCAACCTTATGAACAGATTTAACTACAATGACTAGTGGGGGATCTATCTGTCTCCCTACCCCTACCTCTACACCCTCCTCCATGCTGGGGGGTTATAGACCTTCACCAACATGCTCAGCTTTTATATGGGTGATGGTTATCCAAACTTGGGTCCCACAAGTAAATGTAAATGTTCAGCAAGCACTTTACTAACTGGGCCATCTCCATGGCCATTGGGCTATTACTGTTACTATTGTGAAGAACAAACTGTTTCATTCAATGCCTAAGTAGTCATCAAATTCCTAGAGTGCCAAACACTGTTTCCTTAATTCAAAATATGTCAGTGAAAACAAAAAAGTCTCTACTCTTCTGAGCTTATGTTTCATCCCACAATTGTATAATACTGAAAAAGGTCCTCCTTGGGTAGGAAATAGGACCAGGAGAGAATTTCTTCCATCTTGACTACATCATGGCCTCACCCCTAAGAAAGAATAATGTATTTGAGGGAACTCTCCATGGGGACATGAGAGAGTGTGCCATGTTAGCAGGTTGGAGGCCAATGCAAGAGCTATCCCTGATCACTCCTGTGGAAGGCCTTGGGGTGTGAACTCTAAGAACTGCTATGTCTGGTATAAGTTCATGAATATGAGACAAGAGCCCTGTGTTACTCGAGAAACAACCAGGCAAGCCTGATAAAGACAGAACATGGCTCAGGATCCGGGGTCAGAGTCCAATGAAGGATCTGGGACCTCCATGATGGTGAAGTGTTACAGACCATGTAAAATCCTGCAGTCATCACACACTAGAGGAGTCAGGTGGAGAAGTCGCTCTGGAATAAAAAAGTTCTGTCTGAGAATTAACCAAGATTCTTAGGAAACTGCTCAGTAAAAGCTAGGCTTATGGCAGTAGGCAGAAGAGAAGCCTGGGAGGACTATTGCAAAACAAAACGGACAAAGAATTAGTTCCAGGCTGGAACTTCTGGGTTTTTCCGTCTCAGAGTCCTTCAAGGAGCATCACAGATAATGTTTGTGTGCCAATTCTAAGGAAGGGCAAATATGACTCATAAGATAGACACAAAGTTTCCAACATGGCCTCCAACTCAAGAGCTCTGTGTCTGCAGCAGTACATGAAGAGTTGGACTGAACAGCCTGAGGATCTGACTTTCATCCCCAGTACTGGTGGGGAAAAAAGAGCAGTGCCACACCTGTACTTCAAGACACTTGGGGAAGCAGAGGCAGGGGGATCCCTTGGGGCTTATTTGCTAATGGAGCTGAATTGGTCAACTCCAGGTTCAAAGAGAGACCCAAGGTAGAAAAGAGATTGAGAAAGACACTAGTGTTGAACTCTGGCCTACATATAAGCACATATGAACACACACATGAGCACATACACGCATACAAAGATAGAGACAGAGAGACAGAGAGGGAGAAGGAGAGAGTTTTCTGTGTGTAGGCTGGAGATGAAACTCATTGGTACAAAGGGTTCCTTAAAATGCATAAATTCCTGGATTCTGCCTCCAGAATTAAACACACACACACACTCACACACACCTGTGTCTAATTGCATCCATACATTCTTATTAATAATAGACATGTATTAACTGCTGTTTCTACTAATTATCTCTATTTTGAAATGTTATAGTGAAACTTCTCAACATATCAACTCATTTCAAGTGTAAGACGGGGGCAGAATCTATCTCATAGAAATAGTTTGTGAACTCAATTTCCCTGAGCAAATGCACTGAGCTTAAAATAAGTTTCCAGGTATGACAAAGTGAGTTACACAATCCTCCACCCCTTGTCTGCTACCCTTCATCTGATCTTTCCTCCTTCCCAAATAAAGTTTTAAAGAAAGCTAATGTGTTATTGCAGAAACAAATACTAACACATAACTACAGGTAATGGGAGAGAACAAGGCCAGGATCATAGATATTAGTTATTATTAAGAATCCTCTATCTCTCTCTTTGAAATTTGTTGTTCCCTCGCTGTGTAGAGAATGTGCTGGAGGCTCTGTGGCTCAGTAAGCCTTGTCAATCTGCTCTCAGACACACAACTATAGAAATGCTTAGTATGTGATCTGTAATGCTGTAGTTTCCTGTACAGCGAGACCAGAACTGAGCCTATGTGCACCACTGTTGCTCTAAACTAAGTGCTTGTTTCCTGCTGTCAGCCTCTCATCAAACTCACATGCAATTCCAAACTTAGATCAAGTTAACCGAGCAACGTCACAGTGCACGCTAGAATGCATAGGGAAACCTGACCAAAGCCTGCAAACAAGACTCTACCACTCTAGCTAATTCCCCATGGTTGACCAAAGTTTGAAAAGAAGGAAGGAATGAAGGGGAGCAATAATCCTCCTTCCCTTCCTGTGACTGACTATATAGAATGGCTGTGATGCCACCAAGAAGTGAAATCTGTTTTCCCACCCCATATGGGCTGCTTTTGTAATTTGCTTGGTCTGAGACTGTGAAAGAGGTGACATTTTGTGAGTTTTGAAGGCAGCTTCATGGGGACCATGCAGACGCTTCTCAAGGCCCCTGCCCAGCATGGCAGCCTGATCACCAAGAGAGACCGCATGGAGCAGAAAGCTATACTAGTTAAGCCTTCTTCCCCTACCAGCCCCAGCTGGTCTGCCAGCTGCCCACAGATGCATGAATAAACCCAATTGCAGAGCCTCGGAGCCCAGTCATGGCCGGAGCCGCCAAGCCGAGCCCAGGCTGAATCGCTGAACTGTAGTTTGTTTTAGGTCACAGAGTTCTGGAGTCGTTTATTAAACAACAAAAGCTAAGTCATAGTTCCACACATCTCTGTGAGTCACACAGTCCAGAAATGTTATAAAGAAAGTATTCTCCTCAAAGAAAGTTAAAGTTTTGTAGATTCACTGATGTCAGTGCTAATAAAAGCGCTGATCCACAAGAGGCCAAGGCTGACACCAGAGTGCAAATCTCCACACCACTCCTTCCTCAAGAGGTCTTCCTGCAGAGAAGAGCGTCGCTGGACTAGACAGCGTGCACAGTGGCATGCTTGGCTACTATTGTGCTGCAGAGTCCTAATGCTGATGCTAGTAGGCAGTAAGCAGTTCATAGGCCAGCTGCAATTTATGGATAATGACCCAACATATAGGAGCAGAAAATGTATTTTCTGCGAAAAGCCCAATAGTCAAACTTTTATGCCTTGAGGACCATGTAGGCTATGTTAATTTTATTTAATGTGGAAGCACCCATGCCCATGGGCAATGCACAGTGAACAAACACTGCTGTGTTCCAGTAAAACTACTTTAAAGACAAACTATTTTAAAAAGAAGCTGTATTCAGAGTGTGAGCTATACTAAGTAACTTCATCCCCATCAGAGATCATGATCAGTGTTCTCTGTTTCTCACCCCCCCTCGCCCCTTCGTGTATGTGGTTACAATGTCACGAGAATAGGTAAGAACAAAAAGAAAACTAAAGGCAGCCTTTCTTACACAGAGAAACCCCCCACCCCCAACCTCCCCAACCCCTCTCCCCAGCCCCCCACCCCCCACCACCCCTCCCGCTTAAAATTGAGACATTCTAACAGGTAGCCAGAGGGATTAGAGGAAATATGCAACTGTGTGGACAGTTATCTTTAAATAAGGAACATGCAGCGAGCAAGCACAACCGATCAAAACCCTTGGGCGAATCTTGGGAAAACATATTCAAAGATGTTTTCATTGCCGGTGTTGACACTGCATGGACTCAGACTTCTTTCCTCCTTTTCTCCTCCCATCCTTTCTTTCCTCTCTTTCATTTTTCTCCCCACAGGAAGCGACTAGCATTGCATTGTTGAATAAGTTCAGAAGAGCAGCAGTTAATAATTCATGGCAGCCTCCCTACTTCCCTCTCCACGTACTGTGAACACAATGGATGTCTGTGTCATTAGAACATGAAACAATGGTCTATCTTATACTCACCCTGGGCTGGGCAGAGTGTGCCCTGGTGAGGAATTGTCAAGGAAGGGCACAAAGAAGATACACCAGCCACCATCAGTCAGCTCCCAAAAATTTACTGGGAAGACATCCAAATTTTCATTATTATTGCTTTTTTGGGTCTTAAAAACCAAGATGATTAGTTTCTTTGACAAATGCACTTCTCCTCAAATTGCAAATGCTGATGTTAAAATCGTTAAAGTAAAAACAGAATCTCAAGTGCTGTGTGCTCTGCTTATTCTACTGATATATATATATATGTGTGTGTGTGTGTGTAACACACACTGTGAAATCTGTTAAAAATCTCAATTGCTTTAAAGATTAAACACCCATTTTAAATGGAAATCTTAGTAGGAATAAGCTTTTAAAGTGGTTTCTTCTACTTAATATTTAATATTTACTCCACCTTGTGAGTAAACCATTGAGAATCTCTGGCAGAATTCCCACCTGGGAAGAATAACACACTAGGAATCAGCCACTAGCATTTAGCTCAAACTGGTCAAACAATTTTTCTCGAGACAAAACATGGAGCCATGGTGACCAGGGGAGGACTAGGAGGCAATAAGTTCCAGGAAATGGCCTGTCAGGATGCCCCGATGGGGAGCCACAGATAGCAGTGAGAGCTGTATAAACAAGTAAGATGAAGGGGGAGTTGAGAGAAGACAGAAGATGATGCTCGCAGCTGTCAAAGAGGGGAAGCTATAAAAGAGCTGGTGGTAAACTCTGTCTGCTTTTCAAGATTTCCTGGGGGTGATCTCAGCTACGTGAACATCGCCTCTGCTGGCACAGGGGCAGCAGCATGGCGCTTACGCCAGGAGGTGGAGGAGGTGTCATCCCGGCTGTTGAATACCCCTTAGAACAACTCCCTAGGTTATTCTTTTCTGCTTGCTTTACACAAGGCTCCTACGAGCAGAACTGCACCCTTGCCCCAATCCTTGCCCACGGACTGAGAACTTTTAGCATCTTGTGAAAGAAACTCCAGTTCCTCTCTCCACAGGCACTGATATATACAAGAGGTCCAAAAATTACGGCGAACCATGTTTTCATTGCTTCTCTGTTCTCAGATGATGTCCTTCAGACTTCCTGACATCTCTCCTTCCCCATTAATATGAAATCCTCAGTTTAGGTCAGAGCCCAGAACTCATTGCAATAACATTCCATTTACTGTTAGTAAACATTGCCTTTTCATCAGCTAGATGAAATTCATTCCCTTGGGCAGAAAGATGGGGGAATCTAAGGCTTATGCATATATACATGAAATAATATTTCATATATAGAAGTATGGGTTTTGATTACTATGCCTTTCTTATCCTTGATGGTGTCCTATGACTATAAGCCCTCAATAGAAATGTGTAGTCCCAGTAATACATTCACTAATCCATTTACTCAGCAGTATGTGCTAAGCAACTGCGGGATCATTCAGTTTCTAGTAGTACAAAGATATGGAGCCATCCTAGCCCTGGAGGATGTGTTACCATTCAGACCCGGAACATCTCCTGAAGGTCCATTGCAGGATCTTCCCTGCAGGTAGTGCGGGGAAGGGCCGGTCTAGCCGGCCTCTTCCCGGGGGCTGAGCAAGATAGTGAGTGTCGATGACTCAGACCTGCCCCCCCCTTGCCCCGCAGCATTAGTTACCGGGGAGAAAAAGAACATACACTGGGTAGGGAGTCTGTCGAAGCAGGATCTTGATTTATTTCAACAGGCAGGAACTTATATAGGACTGAGGTAGGGGATGGGAATCTTAGGATAGGGTAAGGTGACATGAGGAGTTAAGGGCCAATAGTATTCCACCAAGCAGGCAGGTATCTAGGCAGGGGGCAATCTTGCATCAGATCTGGCTGAGTCACCCCCATGTGGAGGTTACAGATTAGAGACAGGTTGCCAAACTCTGGCCAGGCTCAGGAGGTTACAATGGGCCTCACATCCGAGCCCTAAACTCAAGTCAGGCTCAGGAGCTTATACTGGGTCTCGCATCCAAGCCTTTCTTAGGTCCAACAGTCCATGTGAGAAAGACTTGGTCCACAACCTGTGTGTGGACCAAGTGGAGCTTATAAGAGGTAGGACACAGGAATGAAGTCAGGTCATTTTCTTGGAGGGAATATTGAAACCAGATCCTACTCTGCCTTCTCTTTGCTTCCAGTTGTCATGAAGTAAATGGGTCCTTTCTGCCACAAGCTCCCACCATGATGTACAATGCTAGCTATCTCTAGACCAGAGCAACAGGACCATGAACTGAAACCTCAGAAAAGACAAGCCTAAAGAAATCTTTTCTAGTTTAAAGTAGGTATCTTGGGTATTTTGACACAGTGACAGAGAGCTGACCAACATAGGTGGTCAGCATTCAGTAGAAGAGCCAGATGGGTAAACATAACTTGCAATGTAGACCTATAGCAGAAAGAGTCAAAGATTTCTGGGCTTGACTCCCTGCCCCCACACACAGTGCTTCCCACAGGAAGAGATTTTGAATTGAGTGTTAACAAATAGTGGTACCAACAAGGAGAAAAGATACTGTAATGAATTTCACCTTGTGTGTGGAGCTCATGTAGAGAATTTTCAATTTTAGCTTCAGTGGGAGAAAAGCTAAAAATTGGAATGGCTAAGTATGAGAGATGTCAAGGCAGAGCCCAATGTTATAGAGGATGACTAAGAGGATGTTAGATGACAGATGGCTAGGTAGGAAGTAGCCTCAGGTGCTATTTAGTCCTTATGCATCAATGCAGGTGTCATATACCCAAAGGTGGCCCACCAGTCTCTGTAGGAATCTTCTAGAAGTAGGCGCTGCCTGCCTAAAAGAGCAGCAGCCTCTACTGGTCTGAACTACTCAGATTTTTAGAAAGAACTGTTTATTTTGACCTGGAACTTGCCTAAAATTCTGCCTATTAACCTTTTTATTTTCTAGTTAGACATTAACAGTTCTTTACTCTCAATAAACTATTCCATTTTTAACTAATAGCAGGCCCCACCAATTAACCTTAATTCCCTTATTTAAAAAAAATAGGTCTGTTTTCTTACACCTAAGACTAAGTCATCTAGACTTTTAGAAGCAGTTTATTATGTCTCTCCACCTCCCTTAAAATGTTTCCAAGGTTTCAGGAAAATTCTGCCAAGAGTTCCAGCCATCACATCTCCCCATCTCCAGAGGCAAGATTTGTTACACATTTGGTGCTATGACCTTGATTCTCTGTGGCCAAGGCTTTCATCATCTCAGTGTCTTAAGAAACCACAACAAAATAAAAGAAAGACAACACATGCAGGACAAAACCAGCAGATCCCCTAAAATGCTATTAGCCAAAGTATTGCTGCCCTCTTTCTGTGGTTACACAGCCGTTCCCTTAGTTTTGCCTCAGTACTGCAGGGGGGAGAGAATGGCTTGGTGAAGACAAGGTCAATATTTAGACTAAAAGGTGGAAATATGGTGGAACTGAAAGTGAAGCTTGAGATACTCTTGTCTAATCCCTTCTTCTACAGAGCAGGCAACACATGGCCCTTAATGATACCTGTTAAAACGATGGGGAGAATAGCTGGTGACTGACTAGACATTCTCATAATGCGAGATTAACAGCACAGGTCACCCTCTGGCTCCAAAGGAAAATATATAGCATGCCGAGGGAAACAGTGGTCATGACACAAATGAAAGGTTTAGTATCTTTCTTTAATGGTGGTTTACCAGGACAGTGTCTCTAATAGGATCAAGATGAATCCTATCAGAATCTGGGCAAACACAAATGGAGCAGGGACAATTGGATACCCACGTGCAAAAGAGCAAACTTAGACCCCTTCCTCACTCTATTAAAAAGAGGGGAAAAAAGTACTCAAAGTAAATCCCAAGCCCTTAGATTCTTAAAAAAAAAAGGCATGGGTATTGCTCCTTATGACCTTTGTTTCTTAAATAACACACCTAAGACATGAATAACAAAGAAATTAGAGGTCATCAAAATTAAAACTTTTTTTCCTTATTTATGAATGCTCTGCCTTGGCTTGGTTTATTTATAGCCAATTTCTTTTTTTATTATTTTTAAATTTAAATTAGAAACAAGGTTACTTCACATGTCAGTTCCAGGTCCCACTCCCTTTCCCTCCCCTTCTCCCACGCCCTCCCATCAACCCCTCCAATATCCCCTCATTTCCCCAGGGAAGGTGAGGCCCTCCATGGGGGTGTCCATAGTCTGTCATTTCATCCAGTGCAGGGCCTAGACCCTCCCATAAGAGTCCAGGGTGAGAGTGCATCTCTCATTGTTGGATGGGTGTCCTAAGTCCATTTGTATACCTGGGATAAATACTGATCTACTGCCCAAGGATCAATAGATTACCTAGGCCTCCTCACTGACACCCACAATTAAAACATTTTAAAAATGAAAGGTCACTATCAAGAAAGAAAAACAAGTTAATTTAAAGTAGACAAAGGACTCTGAATACATACTTCTCCAATGGAGAAATGGCCAATAAGAACACAAAAAGATGCTCATATTCATTAAGTATTAGGGAAATGTGAATCAAAAATCACAGTGAGATGCTGTTTTATACTCACTGTTATGAATTTATTTTAATGAAAAATCAGATAGGATGAGGATGCAGAAAACTGTAATACTACATATTGCTGTTGGGAATGTGATATAGTGAAAAACATCTCAGTATTTTCTCCCAAAGTAATATGCCATATCTTCTATTTTCTTTTTTCCAATCCTTCATTACCCCTCTTTGATACCTCCACATGCCCGCCCATCTTGTAGTCTTTTAGGTGCTTTTGTTTGACTTCTTGGGGTCTTGGTCAGTGTTCTATGACTGTAAAGAGAAACCATTATCACAGCAACTCTTATAAAAGAAGCATTTAATTTGGGACTTCTTACAGTTTTAGAGATTTAGTCCATTATCAGTGCAGGGAGAATGACAGCATGCAGGCAGACATGGTGCTGGAGAGGGAGCTGAGAGTTCTACATCTGACTCCACAGCAGCAGGAAGAAAGGACACTGGGCTTAGCCTGGCCTTCTTGAAACCTCAGAGTAACACTTCCTCCAACAAGGCCACACCTCCTAATCCTTCTCAAGTAGCCCCACTCCCTGATGACTAAGCATTCAGATATTTGAGCCTATGGGGGTCTTTCTTTGTCAAACCATCACAGAGTCTGAGCCTCAACTTCCCTAAGAAGTTTTTCTTCACTCAGAGAGAATGCAAGAAGCTACTGGGGCCAACTAGTTGTCTCTGGTACTGTCCTCAGAGGT